TTTTTTTTTTAATAAATTAAAATCTTCCTTGTGGAAAATCTTTTTCTCTACGAAATAAATTAATTAAGGAATAATAAATTTATTCGCGTTTCGTCCATCTTCGAATTTCTTTCGCTTCTCTGTCTCTTCCCTATATAATTGACAAACTACCTCTTGACATAAATATACTAATGAATTGTAGGAAAATAAAAAGTACATAGAGTCGGAGGTGGCCGAGCCGCTCGAGTGGAATCGATACCAGGTTTTCGTAGAGAACCGTTCCCCGGCCAAATTTTCGGACGTTCCTGGGGTGGTTCGATCGTTGAACGATCGCCCATCGAAATCCCCTATTGAATCAGGTTGCCGTTTCGGTGAAACGTACGAGGACGATAAAGAGTCATCTAGGAAATTGAATACGTCGGATGCTTTCATTGGTATATATATTTTTTTTCTTCACTTACCCTTTCCTCGCCTTTCTCCGTTATTTTCCTAATTTTCGATGAAATTTTGATAAAATGATAAAATTTCCCTAAAGCTTTTCTCTAAATTCGAATCTGAAAATACGCACATCGGCGGGAATGTACAACAAAACATTGCCAAATTTTAAGATCTGTCCCGGGTGAAAATGGAACGAAACGACGATGGGACGGCTTCGATCGATTGCAAGATGGAGGAGGCGAATAATTTAGAGAGTGCAAACGTGGAGGAGGATTGTTTGGAGGAGAAGAAAGAGATCTTCGTGAACGAGAGTCGCCTGCTGCCGCCCTCATCGTCCTCCTCCTCGTCGTCCTCGGCCAACACCACCGATTGCAAAACTACGTCGAATCGTATCGTTGTCTCCAACGCGCAGATTTCGAACAACAGCGTTACCGTGTCCGTAATATATCCTGAAAACAATAACGCCTACCTTCCCACGAGCACGGTGGAGGGAACGCTCGAAGTGCATTCGAAGTGCGGTGGAACAATGTCCGCGAGAAGGACAGGTATACACACCATTTATTCCCACTGACAATATTTTAAGCAAAGGAACAAATTTTTTGAATTTATTTTTACCATCTCAAAAATATCTTTCTTCGTTTCATCCTGCTAAATAATCTTTCTTTATCGTTTTTAATGGTTATTATATAGTCTCTTTTGAGGGTCAATTCTTGAGGCGAAGATGCAAAAATGTTTGGCATGTATAGAAATGTCGATTTAGTGTTTATTTATTGAGTTTATAAGAGATCCAAGTTTTCATTGGGAGAAGCAGAAAAAGAAATGTAATTTAAATTATTTTTGTAACTTAATAAGCAAGCTTTCATTGGTATTTTTGTATATTTTCGTTTTTAAAAGTCTTCAAAGATGTCTCAAGATAATCATTAATAAACGATTCGATTAAAATATCTATAAAATATTATAAAATCATAATCAGGGAATTATTGCGAATTTCGGTATAGTACTTATCTTTTATATTTTGGCAGACGCTCTATGGAACGAGAGATCTCAGAAATCCACTTGCACAAATTCGACAAAAGTGCATGGTACAAACGCTGCCCACGTGACAGGATTCGGTTATCGCGATGTAATGGAGCGCAATGGGGATCGTGTGCGTTTAAACGAAAGTAAGATGGAATGAAGTGAACAGGCAAAAGTCTAAAATTATCATTTATATACAGAATGATTCGTAATTCGTGGTACAAGTGAGATGGAGAAGATTCTAGGACTCAACATAAAAGAAAAAATACTATTGAAAAATATTCAAGCTTGATTTTCTTGTTTTCGAGTTTT